AACCTGGGATGGTCCACACTGGTATTCACAAGAACAGAGCTCTTCTAGTTTTATGCAAGTACGAAAGCAATGAAAAAGTATTTCTGAGGAAAGCCGATAAATATTTTCTTTAAGAAAAACTTGTTCTGTAAGCTCAGTGAAATTGCTGCCATTGTCCTCAATTTACCAGAACAAAAATTTGGACTCCTGATTTCAGAATCAAATCTGCATCTCTCATTTGTCCAAAATTTTAAAGGCGTTTTGTTAAATACCTGTATGCATGTTGCAGTATTTATTTGGTACTTAGCCAGTTAGATCCCTGTGCTCTACTAATTATTCTGCAACAGGATAGCACTCTAAAAGTTGTGCAGAATACCTATGGTTAAGACTCACTCCTGCTATTTAAGACTGCAAGTAACACTTCTGCGCTGCTCTTTGCTGCTGCATTCAGTATGATGCCCCTTTATTCTCAGCTAAGCAAATATAGGTATGAAGTCCTGTAGCAGTCTGGCCTTTTCTGTGTAGTGCACGTGCATCCTTACGTACTGTGGCTTCTCTTAGTCCTCAAACACCTTGAGAACACAAAGGTGCAAAGGTGACAAAGTGCCCCCCTGTCTCAGCCGAACTGAGGGCAGCTGTGCGCGTAACACCCTGTCCTGCAGCATTACCGCACCTCGGGTGGTGCCTTCAGCACAGCCCTGCGCTACTGCAGCTGTAGTTCCCCCCACGGGCCTTGTTCTGACAGCAGTGGAACAGGGGCACCCTACAGCCGCAGCTGCACGGGAGCGTGCTCGTGCTGGGGAGAACGAAGCCGGACAGGAAGTACTGCTGGAACACCAGCTGGTTCTTCTTGGCTCCGGTGGCTGGGCAGGCGTACAGGTACTGCTTGCGTGCTGTTCCAGCCTCGAGCCCGAACAGAGAAATTGTGCACACAGTTCCCTCACTTTAGTGTATAATTTCAATAACAATGTCAAAACATAATGATCCAGTGATCAGAGGTAGGAGAATAAAGTAAGTGAACATAATTAGTGAAAAGAGAGCATTGAATTACAGTTGCAGAGACAGGGTAGGAATATAGTAACTTTTCTCCATTGTTTACATAGGATATCTTTCTAATACAGCCTCAGCAAAAAATGAAACACGTAATATCCTGTACGTGGGCTTCTGTTACTGAACTAGCTGAGATCTTCTGACATAACAAAAGTAAACTAGCTCCTTGATGAAAAAGTTCCGTATCTAGGGTGGCACAACTGGGATTGCTTAAGGTACACACAAAGGTACACACAAGCACATAACAAGAGGAAGAAAGTGGTTTTTCTATCAGGATTATAAAGGCTATATCTGAAACACATGCTATAGGGAGAAAATTATTTTCTGCAAACTCCAGGTCTGCCATATGAATTTCTAATGGTTGAAAAGATCTTTAATCAGTTCTGGTTAAAGTGCGTTCTTAACGCATCTTGACAATGATGGTAAAGAACAGAATAAGGTCATTCTTTCTGTGGCTCCATGGTAGCCTATGCTACGCAAAAATTATATCTAGTTCATGTAAGTTTGAGCTGCTTTACGGAAAAACAATATTCTGCTTTCTGTCCCTTAAGCCCTAGAATGTGAAGAATACATGCCAAAGGTTAACAGACGTGACTTGTCATCTTCATCAAGAAATAGTCTGCAGAATACACTGATCATATACTTTTCTTTAGGCAAGATTCTTCTGTACGTCCAACTAACTGTAGTTAATTTCTGCTGGTGGCTAATAACATATGGGGAAGTCTATTAGAGCTTAGAAAATTAGCAGCACAAGGAGGAGTCTGTTTAATGGTGGCGGTAAGTACTTAATATCCTTTTGATGATTTACCCTTAGCTGTTTATTGTCCAAAGTGTGGTGGCTTACATATAGATGGAAGAAAAAATTAGTAATGAATTCTAGCATAGAGAGAAGACCAAGGCTGAAAGTATTTGGACTTGGAACGTCACTGTTTTCAGATGCAAAGTTTCAGTAAATGAATTAAGTTCTTTTCGTGCATTCCTGTTGAATACTTTAAATATAAAATGTTTTAGGTCTTTTTATAAACTGATAAAAATACACAGAACTTCCACAACTAATTAAACCTGAAGTATGCCTACGAATGGAAAAAAATCAAACTTGCCAAATATAATCAAAAACATGATCTTTCCAACTGCAGACCATAAAAAAACCCAATATGTGCCTCTCTATTCTATTTTTATGCCTTTTAGTAGCAATAGAATCTAAAGGAGCCAGATGTGTCTTAGGAACTTTGTTGTTTTGGTGTAAGGCATGATAGCTAATCAGTTCAGTGATGTTGAACAGCCATAGAAGTCCTTTTAATTAAAGCTAAATAGGATGCTAGAGATAAATTTAAAAGCCATTAGGCCTCCCTATGTACTATGCCACCTATTGTACAGCATACATGTAGTCTGTGTTTTATAATGTGTATCCCTTTCCTTGTGCATGTGTAGTTACTTGAGAAGGAAAGGTATAAGGCAAGCATCACAGTCTGCTGCTCGTAATCAGAAACTGGGCAAGGCTGCCAATGTTTATTTAATACCCTGGCAAGTCCTAAGCAACAGAGGCCCTGGGGAGTGCAGAGTGCCCTGCTTTGGCTTGATTGAGATGTTTTGTGGCATTCAGTCAAAATATTACACTTGACCACCCAGTTGAACAGCACACTAGAGAGCGGTGCTAGGAAAGGAGTGAAGAATGAAGGATAATAAACACGATCTACAGGTAGCTACAGTGAGACGTGGAACAATCTTGGAGGTACGATGAGAGTAAAATTGAACTGTACTCTTGAGAGTAGAGAGCGGGACTAAGGAATGGTGGAACATCATTTAAAATTGGAGCATTCATTCCTGCACTCTTTTGGATTCATCTTCCACTTCATTTATTGCTTGGATATGTGAATTTGAAGGTTTTTATTTTAAAATATGAAATTTAACTTTAAGTATCCAGACAGTTAGTTCAAAACAAAGTGTAGTCATATTTTGTTATGTTTGGCATTTCTGGCATTGGGAGTGGGGGAGTATATTACAAAATATTTGTTGCCCAATGCCCTTCTTTATTGCATTTTGAGATTTTTTTTTTTTGTATTATTCTGGGTGGGTTGTGTGGTTTGGTGGTGGTAAAAATAGTGCTGCTCCAGAAGCATCTTGAATAACCAGTTTAAACTCTTGATTAGTAAAAACTGGGTGATGTAATTATGTGAATTTGTCCTTAGAGAAGGCTGGAGATACAACTGTGTATAAAAGGTTTATTTATTTGTATGGCTAGGAATAAAGGCAAGCTTTTATTATTCACTGCATTTCCCCCAAGCTGCTTATTGAAAACTGTCAGAAAGGGCAGCTGGCAAAAAAAACCCCCATGAAAACTTGGAAAAGCTTCTTAGAAACCTTCATCATCTACAGCTCGCTTGCTCCCTCTTTCTGTTCTACAGATCGTTCTTCCCCATACACATCCATTTGGTCCCTAGCTTAGAAATTTTAAAAATTAAATGCAAACAGAGTATCATGAAATATAATTAAATCTTAGAAATTAACTTTATTGATATTTAAACTAAATCTTCTTCCCTGCAGTCTAAATGAGTTTCAGAACCAGTAGCCTGGACAAAATAAGTCAGTGTAGAGGATATTTTGATGAGGATAGTAGTGTTGCCTCTTCACAGTAGTTATCTGTATGCTTCAAATGACTAAACCAGAAGTAAGTGATAAAGCAAGTTTGTAAAAACAGCTGAAGTATGAATAGAGCCACAGTAAAGCCAGAAAGTTCTTATGTTTACCATCACCTTACGGAGGAGACTGCTGCGAAGTACTTTTTGTTTTTGGTCCTACTAGTCTGTTCCTGTTAGCAGAAATAGTCAGAGAGAAACTGTACAGTAACAGAAATAAAGAAGAAACTGTACAAATGCCTATACTTGGGTAATTTTTGATTGGATTTTTAACAGTAGGATCCTAGAATGTGTAACCATGACCTCATTCTCCAGGAAGAAGGTAGAAGATGGGAACTGAAGTCACAGTTAAACCTACATGCAAAACCCAACCAAAACACAGTTTGTATTGAAGTCACAAAATACCAAAATTTCCATTTTTGACTGTGATTGAGTTTGAAGTTTGATTTGGATGTGTTAAAAAGAAGATGCAATATATTCTCTTATTTCTCAGATTCATACACTGCAAAAACTGCAAAGCAACAGAGGCAACCTAAACACAGCGGAAGAAGCATTTGAAAGTCTCAAAGTTACTAGAATCTATTCCTTTATTTCTTGCTGCCTTCTTGATAAAATAAATTACTTGAATGTTAACGTATTTATAATACTCACACTACCGTGACTAGTCATGCCAAATCCGAATACATGGAGAGCAGGGAGAAAAGTCCATCTGACAAGTTCTCAGCAGCATTTTATTGAAAACATGAAACATTTCAATGTTGAAATGCAGCAGACGTGTTGTTGTCTTCTGTACTTTGTCTTGTCTATTGAGAAGCTATGAAAAATATTACTCTAAAGAGAGGGAATCCTATTAAAATGTATGAGGAGACATTGCAATGTACAGTGTTCATTATTAAATTAAAAAAGGCACTTGCTATCTTGCTTGCCTACAGATTATATAAAAACCAAACAAACAAAACCCTCAAAACATGTCTGCAGAGAAAGGAAAAGTGGTACTACCAAAAGAGGTTAAATATGTCCACAGAATACATTCATATTTTAAAAGACAATAATAAAGTTGTGACCTAATAACTTAAGCAGATGCTTCTATGGCATCACTTAAATTTTGAAAGTCAATGAAACACTGAGTTTGAAGTCCTTGATTTTTTTTAATTATTTAAAAAAGAAAATAAAAAAACCCAAACCAAACAACCAAAGAAGCTCCTCAAAGTTCTGTTCATCCAGGCACCACCACCAGTGCCACAACACAGTAATCCATGTGAGGGCAGGAGCGATGCAATTCAATAAACCTATCCTGCCACCAGTCACCAGTTCTTGAGTTTATTTCTTAGCAATTGACTAGACAATAATGCAACGCCAAAGCAGAGTAATCATCAGGTAAAACTGTTTGTCTTTCAAATAGACAATCCCTCATCGTGTTTCTGCATTGCAGAGTGCTTTGAGTGCATTTTCAGCCATAGGCTGAGTGCCACATTCAAAAAGTGTTTGAAAAGAGACAGAAAAATATAAGGAACTAGTAAATGGGTAGGCAAAAGTGCTACAGTCCACATTTCTGGTCAACTGCAATGTTTGACTAGGAAGAAGGTAGTTGGTATATCAGAAGAGGGACTTGCAGAAACACTGAATTCCTCCACCAAAACCAAAATGCTTTTATCTCCCCACAGTTTAAACAGAATTCATACAGTCACATATGCCTGTGAACTCAGTTTTCATCTCTCTTGTCCTGTCATGAATGTAATCAGCCTTATATTTTCCTTGTGGTGTCTTCTATATTCACAGCTTCAGAATGTTTTGAATTGTATCTACCTCCAGTACCACTTAGAGTTCATCCTAGTGAAAAGAAAATAAACAATTAAGTTATTCTGAAACTACAAATAAAAATCAAGATTATTGGTGTTTTTCTGTGATTTTAAATTTGTGGTACTAATTTTTCAACGGGACAAATGTTTCTTAAAACAGAATTCAGGGTACTTCTTAACAGCTAACTAATATATTCTTTCTGAGTTAAAATGTCAGTCCCAATCTTGCATTACTCAGCCTCTGTAATTTGGTGCCTGCTTGCTAAATCTATTCTAAGGGTTACCCTTAACAATACAAAGCATCTCAACCATCCTTAACGCAGCCGTCCCACAGATAGCTATAAATTCTGCTGAGTCTTGCCATAGCTGATGTTGCCAGTGCAGTATTCTCTGCGACATCTGTGGACACGGAGAATGGAGTTTGAATACATAGCAGTAACCAAAACAAGAAGACTGGAAGTAAAACGTACCTGGTACTATTTGAAGATACGGCATTTAATATTTCATGGAGAAACAGCAAATACTAACATTGTTTTAAAGGGCTGTTACTGACAATAATATAAGTCTTTTGCAAAAGGCCCTACAGTAAGTATTCTTACCTTATTTCTGGATTTTTTTCTTTTTCCTTTATTTTGAATTGCTTCTAATTTTTCATTCAAAAGGTCAGCAATACCTTTTGCATCTCTGCTGTCTATATATTCGCCAAGAACATTTTTCTTAAAAGAAAAACAAATTAATAAAAAATTTTGCAACATACTACCCATGCTCTACACTGAATAGAAAAATTTCCTTACTTTCAGATAAAATTCAAGAATGCAGGGAGGAAGACAATGGTTCTGGTAGGTTGATTTAAGATTCATAGATATATTTTTGTCTCCATTTAAACAACCCCAATTGTCTTTATAGTAAGAACCACTCTTAGCTAGTTTTCAAAACTACACAAATTTTGACCTACACAAGTTTTTCTCAATCCTTAGAGAAACCTGAAATAAGTTAGAATTTTCTCACATCTATTCAGCTAAGTATTTAATGTCGACATCCATTACGAAGTCTGCCACTTCATAATCTATGTTCATGAAATCTGTCAGTGTGGGTCGCTATGTTTGAGACCTGAAAAGCCATTACTCTTTACCACAGGAAAGTCTCATTGAATTTGACGGGATCGTGTGAGGAAGGATTTCTAGAACTCCCATAAGAGAGTCAGTTAAAAAAAGAGAAGTATAATTAAAGAATTGGCTTAACTATCAGAATGCACTGAATGCTTTCTCTTCAGCATTAATATATTTAAATAAGATGACTATAATATTACTGAAATGTAATAGTTTTACAGGAATAAATGCAATTTCCTAAAATTATCTTCATACTTTCTGATTTTTTAATTTATTACTACTAATCTGTTAGTAGGAAATGTTGATCTCAGAGTCACATTGATAACTGAAATGGTTTGATAAGGTTTGGTTTTGAGACAGAACACAACTCAGTATTTTTAATCAATCTTCTATATTAAAATACATAACTTAAGTCACAATTACAATGCAATGCTATGATTATGTTGAAAGAGTATTTCTCCTTAGCCAAAATGAAGTTGTCCACATTTCATTTAGAGAGAGAGACTTTGCCTGCTTTTCGTAGCTGGTGGTGGAATTGGTAAAGGTTGAAAAACATTTTGTCACATGATACCCCTGCGAAATTAAACTCTGGTTCTGGTTAAGCCCACATTTTAGTTACTGTTGTATTAATTTACAATTTGTTATTTTTCAATAACATTATTACTGTATCATTGTCCCAGTATTTTAAATATTACTGAAATTAATTATTATCGTATCTCCTAAATATCTAAATAATGCACTGTAATGTGTTACAGAAATAGTTTCTTAAGTCTTAATGTGAAATAAAATACATCTACTAACAGTACCTGCTCACAAAGGAGACACTTTACCTTTGTTCCTTGGTAGGGGTAAAACTTCACAGTAGGGTAGGCTCTGATATCAGCAGTTTGACAGGTCTGAGCATACATCTGGCAGTCTACTTTTCCAGCTTTTACTTTGCCTTTAACAGTCTAAAAAGAAATGTTTATTAGAAACAAAGTTCAAGTTTCCATGGGTTACTGTAAACAAGTAACTTCAATAAGCCAGCAGCGCGGCTAAAAGTGAATGAAAAACATTGCTCAAATCTTAAATATCTTGAAGTAGTCGCTTGCTTGCTTCCTTCTCAGACTGTTAACTTTCTATCAGAAGTTGCTACATGTTCAGCAGAGCGCTTGTACTTGAATTCAGGGCAAAGCACATCATGGTTCCAAAAGTCACTCCATCCTAAACTGAAATCTGTCTCGGAGTAGGGTCTGTGCATACGTCTCTGCAAGGGATAACACCTGCTGGCATGTGGCACCTAAAAGTATGGTCTTTTAATGAGAAGGAGGATCGCTGGAGGTATGCAATTTTTGGACGATTGCTAAGAAATAAGTACTGATGAATTATGTTTTAACCATTACGAGTATAACAATCTGCTAAAGCAGTAAAAAACCTACCCTTGCAAGGATCTCAAATTCAGGAGCAAAATTTTGGCAAGGTCCGCACCAAGGAGCATAAAAATCAATGACCCAGTGATCTTTTCCATTCAGAACTTTTTCTGTGAAACTCTGAGGAGTCAGTTCTACAGACGCCTGTGGTAGGTGTCTGTGGAAAGGAAGAATCAGTCATAAACCAAAAAAAAATTCCAAAAATTTAAACATATCCAAGAATTACAATTTAATCACAAGAAAAATTTCTGAAATTAAGAATATGAGTAGTCTGGAAATCCCTGCTTAACACTTTGTACTATAAGAGAATCACCTTTAAAAAAAGTGGTTGACAAAATAACAACATGGTCTTCAGAAAACGAGTGGACAGTAAGGAGTATGCTATTTCTCCGCATTTTAAAAGCTTGAGTTAAAAGATGTGGAAATTTTAACAATTTAAGCAATACGTATATCTGTTTCATAATTCTTGACTTACATAGCATTTAAATATTAATTTCTCCTAGCAAGCAAACCACATAAGTGGCTTATGAACAAAGTTTTATGCAGTAACTTACCCCAATGCCCAGCCTCTCAGTGAATACGAATCTCTGTGCCATCCATTGTAGCTACTATAAAAAGAAAACAAAAATCCACTTGCACAGCAGTTTGAATTATGTTTGAAAAAAACACTCCATAGTGTGGAGATGATGAAATAATGAACTTAAATGCATATGTTTTAGGATATATTTCTACCTTGCTTTCAAATCTGCATAAATGAGTCTTGTTAACACAATTCAAACATACAGAATTAAGGACTAGAAGATGATGAGAAGGAAGAGAAGAAAATTCTGTGTCACAAGAGTAAGAAAATTGGTTTGGAGCACATAAGCTTTTACAGCCAGAACTATTTTGAATGAAGGATCTTTGGTAATAACTCCAGATAAAATTGCAGGCTCTAAGAAACATCAGAAAGAAATTGAAATATCTTAATATATTTCCTAATTGATATTATTCATTACAATAAACCAATTATTAATTGCGTACATTTCCCTCGGTTTGACAGTACAAAAGCCAAGCAACAGGTTACTTGGACAAAGATTTATTATTTGGACTTTCAGGGCATTGCTTAGTTATGAAATTCCAGTGACAGGTTAGAAAAAAAAGATTAATTCAGGATTCATATCCCCTAATTTATAACTTCATAAGAAAGTATTTTTCAATAGAGTTACCTGGTCAAAATCTGACTTGATAATTTTTGATGATCTTTATTTTAAGGGACAAATTTTCATATTTTTGCATGAAATAGCTGACTTATGATTAGGAATTTGGCACTTAACAGTCATATTCAACAACCTAGTTGTTTTCAACAACAACAAAAAATAATTCTGCTTTTAAGAGAAACTTTATCTAGAGGAACTGAATAAAAGCAAGCAGTCCAATGATGAAAGCTACTGAAATCTGCTATTATGCACTATGAAGAAGAGGCATTACAATTTATTATCTGTCAGCGTTGAATAGAACTTTCCAATTTGTAAAATAATGAAGCAACACATCTCCTATTTCAGACTGTTATCTATCTTTAAATATGCATGCGCTTCCTGAAATACCTGTATCTCTAAACAGTAATGTGAAATGGAGGGGACAAGCTGTTTGTTTTCGGCCTGATTTCACTTCCCCTAGATTTTTTTTCTTTTGTTAAAGTTTCCGCACTAGTGATACAATGAACAGGATGACTAGATAGATGACAGAAAATTTTCTGCAATAGTGCTAACAGACTGTTATCAAGGAGGATGATCAGATGGCTACAACACTCTGTTCTCTAAAGGTAAAGCTACAATCAATTAGGCCTAACTCAGAGGGCTGTCATCAGCAGCACTGAGTCTAGTTGGAGGCCTGTAACTAGTGGTGTCCCCCAGGGGTCAGCACTCAGCCCAGCCTTGTTCAACTTCTTCAATGACCTGGATGAAGAGTTAGAGTGCACCCTCAGCAAGTTTGCTGATGACACCAAACTGGGAGGAGTGGTGGATACACCAGAAGGCCGTGCTGCCATTCAGCGTGACCTGGATAGGCTGGAAAGTTGGGCAGAGAGGAACCTGACGAGGTTCAACAAGGGCAAGTGCAGGGTCCTGCACTGGGGGAGGAATAACCCCATACACCAGCACAGGCTTGGGGTGGACCTGCTGGAGAGCAGCTCTGTGGAGAGGGACCTGGGTGTCCTGGTGGACGACAGGTTAACCATGAGCCAGCAGTGTGCCCTGGTTGCCAAGAAGGCCAATGGTATCCTGGGGTGCATCAATAAGAGTGTGGCCAGCAGGACGAGGGAGGTTCTCCTTCCCCTCTACACTGCCCTGGTGAGGCCTCATCTGGAGTACTGTGTCCAGTTCTGGGCTCCCCAGTTCAAGAAAGATGAAGAGCTACTGGAGAGAGTCCAGCGGAGGGCTACAAGGATGGTGAGGGGACTGGAACATGAGGAAGAACTTCTTCACTCTGAGGGTGATGGAGCACTGGAACAGGCTGCCCAGGGAGGTTGTGGAGTCTCCTTCTCTGGAGATATTCAAGACCCGCCTGGACAAGGTCCTGTACAGCCTGCTGTAGGTGACCCTGCTTCGGCAGGGGGGTCGGACTAGATGACCCACAGAGGTCCCTTCCAACCCCTAACATTCTGTGATTCTGTGATATTTTTACATTATATGATTTAAATTGTCTACTTTAACAGGCAATTAAAGTTAGAAAACTGTAAATTGATAAAGAACAAGAAATAAAAATGAAGACTCCTGAGGCAGTCTCAGTTCAAATTACTGAAATGAAATGGCAAAATAAAATGGCATAGTAAAGTCAGTAACATCTAGGACCGTAATATCATAACAGCCTATTTTAATACCTGTGATGAACCTGGCAGAAGATGTATATTCACCTTGTTCCACATCATCTAACATTTCTCAAACTGAAGTAAACTACTTACTAATATTGATGAGCTGTGTTTGATTTTTGAGGAAAGAGTCTTATCTCAGGATATCCCCGAACACTTTCTTTGTGACAGAAAGAATAGTATTTTTGACAATCCACACTGCCTACACTGATTAATCCATTTAACATCTGAAAAAAGAAGAAAACCTACAATCAACTATGTGAATCAATAATACTACAATTTCAGTAATACTTCAGAATGTAAGTCTCAATCACTTAGTCGGGGAAAAAAACCCAGCAAACCAAACCAAGATTATCATAAAGCTGTCGTCCTTCTTGTAAATGGGTCGCTGGTATCTAACAGGAACCAGCCACCCAGGTACATTCCCATCATGCACAGTATAAGCTGCATGCACATGGCTCATGAGGCACCTACCTTGCCTCAAAGGTACATGTAAGTGCCGTTGTTTTGTATAAGGACTACCATATTACCATATTTCCTATCATAGACTCAGTAGTTACAACAGATCTGGATACAGCGCAGATATGCCCTCAGCTGCACAGCTGGCCCATGCCTTAAACATGCTGTATTTGTGGCAAAGGCCCAAACCACCTGGCATGGGCAGGGAAGCTGATGATTACAGAATGTGTACTATAGAGCTAATAATGCTTCACAGACATTTGACCAGAATATAGAATCCTGGCTAGAACGCCTAGTCTAGGTGAGTTCTAAATGTCTGAAAGTCATGGACTTGTTTCCAAAGCCCTATTTTTTTGCTCAGAGTTTCTAGTTCAAATTCCTGGAAAGCACATCCAGGAAAACCCAGATGGTTGTCAGTAAAGTAGTATTACCTTTGCAAATGGGAGAACCTTGTAATGACCTCGCAAAACAAAAAAACTCTCCCCAATTCCAATAATTCCATATTGAAGTACGCGTAAATTCAGCTAACTGACAATCAGCCATAAAGTATATGGTATTTAACATTTCTTTACTTTCAGTGAAGAAAACAAGATCTCAGAATAAAAATCTTCCTAATATAGGAAATAATTAAGATGGGTAAGATTGAACTCCTTTAACCTTAAATTCAAGTCAGAGGTTTCACTGAGGTCTAACTGCTATCTTAAAGATGACTAATGATCGTAAAGAATACCAATAATAAAGTGGCAAATTATTTCAACAAATTCTTATATAATTTATGGATAAATATTTTTTCCCTACTTTGTTTTAAACAAATGCAGAGCTGTTGTCTATATAAAGCACTAAGTATCAAGGAAAGTCAGTTACTCTAAAGTTGCTTAGATGTTGAAAAACACACTTGTATCAACAGGAAAAACTGGATTACAGTATCAATGTACTGACCCTTTAAAAAAAACCAAAGAAAAACTTTGTATTTGAAACAACATAAAACTGTCAGGTAGGAATTCCCCGTTTTGCTGGCAATATTAATCACTCGCCTTTCTCAGTTGACAAATCTCTATGACATAGTTGTACTGTCTCAGTAATTCCATGGAACAGGACACAAAAGCAGAAAAAATGTTTGAATGTCATTTACCCTGGCCATTTTTTTCCATTCTGGCATTAAAGCCTGACAAGGTCCACACCATGGAGCGTAGAAGTCAACCATCCAGATTTCCTCACGTTTTCTTCTCTGAACTAATTCAACAAATGTCTCTGGTGTTAAGGAGACCACCGATGGATTCCTAAGATCCTAAAGTAAAGACAGTTTGTAGACATATACTTTCCAGCAATGAATTATCCCATATCTAGTGCCATCACGTACAAACGGACTGTACCAAATTCTGAGAATGTCCCTCTTCTAGTGACATTTGGTTGCTGCTGTGGTAGGGGAGACTCCACACCACTGAAAGGCATGGAAGCATGAAAAGTCATCCCTTCAACCCAACAATGTATGCCAAATTTGCTAAGAAGAGCTATAAAAAAAAAAATACAGCCAGGCTGCACAAGGGAACTTTTCTGCCTCTTCTCCATAAAGGTAGGCAAAAGGCAAGAAATTCAGCTTACCTGGCAAGAACAGGCATTATGAGACTCAGCCATGCTGCTTAGGCTGGGATGCAGAAGAATACATATGGTACACTACTGGCCTCTGAATATCAACTGAAAAAAACTGATCTCCACCTGTTCCTGCATGTGTGCTCTTAAACCTGCTTTTTTCTGGCCTGCCCGGAGAGAATGAGCAGTCTCTTCAAAGAGTGGAAAACAGCCCACGGATCTAGCAGCGAGAGAATCTGAATGCTGGAGCAAAGATGGGTGCCAGAACTCTGGCAGCAACAGTGATGAGAACCAATGATTTGCAATTCTGCAAGTTAAAAAAGTTCAAGAAACAGCTGAGAAGCAGGGAGGGCAGCAAGCTAATTGACAGAAAATGTGAACCTCCTCCTATGTCAAGATGTGTAATTGAGGCATTTTCACCTTCATATTACAGCACTTCATACTTTTAATTCCTTTATCCTCTCTATGAGATAGAAATCATTACTACGATTACTACTTCCAATACTTTGCAGATTGGAAGGAATCTTAAGTTATTTGCTAACGATCTCAAAGAAATTACTTGACAGAGTAGAGAAATTAATGCACTAGGTGTCAAGTCTCTCACTGACAGTTGCTGAATCACTTTTCTGGCACAAGGTTTTTTCACTCTTTATGTTACTAGTCCAATTAGTTTTAAAGAGTCATCTTGGAATCTTCCAACCAAAGAAGATGTTTGTGTATAAGCTGCATACAGAGCACGACTGCAACACGGATTGTAATTTACTTACCTCTATAAACTCCAAGATCTGCTCAGCAGAGTGATGTCCTTCATATTCATGAACATCAGACTGATTGAACACAACTGTGGTTGGATAAGCTCGAATGTTATGCTAGCAAAACAGATAATAAGAAATTGCAAGAAATTATTAGGTTTCTTACACTTCCCTTTAACTACCATCGGTACTGGTGGCTCACAGCTGCTAACCTATCCAGTTTGTACAGTACAGCTGCTCAGACTTGCATGCAGATGAGAGTTTGAAATCATTACATATCTGTATAGAAAAGATGCCAATTGTATTAAGAGATGGTATACTTTGTTCTGAATTTAAAAACCAGCCAGTAGTTGTTTTGCCATGCTCCACAAATACAGGAATTAATCCATGGACCTTCTAAGCCTTAACTTTAAAGCTATCCCCAAGTCTTCAGGTGAAGATGCTTCTATCGTACGAATAACTGTATCATTTACTATTGAACACAGATGCTTCCACGATTCGAATTCTTCAGTGTGTAAACTGTAAATAAAACTTTCAAAAGCTTGTTCTTTTTTGCTCATTTTTCATGTGTTTTAAGGCATTCACATTTTAAAGATAAATACAAACATTCTAATGTAAAAAGCTCTCGTGAACAATAAAATGCACAGTTGCTGGAAATCTGTCAAAATGTAGTATTTTCTGGGATTCAGAAAAGTAACGTCAATAATTTCTAGCATGATAAATTCATTGAAGCAGAAGTTAAGCAAATTTAAACATGGAAAATTGGGCAAGATTTAAAAAAATTCATTCCATTACTGTATCTTTAAATAAGTGAAAAATCGATAATAAACTTTCTTTTACTTCGAAATTGATCGTGCACTTCTTAAGCACTACAAAACAAAAAGCAGTTAGGATGAACTGAATTAGAAGTGGGTTTGCAGACATTTATATTTATCAATAAAAAACTTGTATTTTTAAATGTTTTACTGTTTTTTTAGCCTCCTATGTGAAGAAAAAAAAAGAATGCATGTATGTATTTATAGATACACTAGGAAAAAAATTTCTGGGTCTGCTTTAATTCTTTCTTTCTTTCTCTTAAGAAAATCTCAGTAATTATTAAACTCTGAGACTTCCAGAGTCTTGCACTAACACTATGAAATAAGAGCAAAACGTGACCTGTATTTTACATTAATATGTTATCTAGTGGTTACAGAGTTTGCTCCTTTGAAAAAAAAAAAAAAAAAGATACAAGTGTCCTGTTTGGTTTACTGCTGTTTAAGAAAATAATATTAAAGAACAAGCATTGTCTGCCCCCCTCCCCCCAACTAGAAGAAAACAGTATTCTTTGAAAGGACTCTTTTTTTTTTTTTTTCCTAGTCCCTGCAGCTTACCATGTTGCAAAGCCCTTCATGGACAGTACAGTCGAGTGTTCCAAATTTAAGCTGACCATAAAGATGTTTTGATGCTTTTCTCAGCTCTGGTAACAAAGCTCGACAAGGAGGACACCACTAGAAAACAAAATGCAAGTAAGAGCAAATGCTTTCCCTGCAGTTGGCTCTCGGGAGAATGTAAGCTGTTTGAGATGAATAATATGCCGCTTTGACAACAGACTCCACTAAATAGAAAACCCACACAGTCTAGGAACTAGTGCGCTGCCAAGGAATGAGAAATTACAATACCATCTCATGATGCTGAAGGACACTTTCAAGATACTGCTAGTATTTTGTTACATAGATACATAACAGATTTTAGAATAAGGGAAATTTAGATATTAAATATTTACCGGTGCAAAGAAATCCACCAGCCATGGTTCCTTCTCTTTGTCAGGAAAATTCTGAGGTCCCAGTGTGATAACATGAGAGTTGACACTTTCTTTGGCAAATGCAACAATATCATACAAGATCTTCTTTCCTTCAAAGAACAATGTAGAAAGGAAGCTTTATTTTTCCCTATGAGAGTTCTCATTAAAAAATTCAGTGGTAGCAACTGGAGTCCTTCAGTTCCCTTGACTGATCTTTAAACATGGCCTGCCTAAATAAATTGAACAGGTACTGGCTTGCTTTTTCTCAGGCAGACAATGTTAAACTGTCCAAATCTACACAGGTAAGACATACTCTAGGTGATAGTTGATATTTGGCTAAATATTTAACTGAGTATTTACCCAATATTAGCCAAATAAATGTTTTATTCAAGACAAAATACGTTTTTGTCAAATGAAATGACTTTTTTGTGACTGGACTATTGGCTGGTTTATCATCTTACTAGTGTTTGTTGGAATTAAAAAGTTACTATTCTAGATACACTTGCCTTGACAAAGGTACTGACACAGTAAAGACTTCAAGCAAAATAAATGATACTGATAAATCACAGCTTTTTAGGTGTAATTGAAGTTCCTACTTACACAGCTCTAGCAGGCAAAGATCAAGTCTCTTCATACCCTTCATGCACACATTTATCAACAGAAATGAGAGAATGTGTCTTGAAATTAACCGAGAATAAGAATTTCAGAGTAATTAAATCTGAAGTCACTACACAATGACTTAAGATTTATTACTGTTCTTAGATTTTAAACTGCTGAAGCCCTTCAACACAGCATATAAAAAAACTTGATTCTTTTGAGTATTATATTTGTATAAATACTGGAGTGAGATTACTATTGGTAAATCTTCTAGATACCATCTATTTTGTAAAGAGTAAAACAAACCATTCAGAAAAGAATGTAGGTACTGTAGTCCAATGTATTTCTCTTACACAATTTGTAATCTATGTCATTATAAAAAGATCTAAAAATGCTGTATGTATTTGACCCTTTCTTGGCTTCTCTGCAGGAGTGGAAATTGCAAAGAGTGTGTGTACATATATAAGGCTTTTCCCAGCAGCAATCATTAGATAGACGGGATTGTCTTTCCGCCTTAGATACGACTAATCTGTTCCAAGTGATCAAAAACATTTCTCCTTTCTTCTTTATTACAGTACTAAGGTTCTGACTTAATCCAGCAAGCTGTTTCTAATACTTCAGAGGCTGAAAAATGAGAAATGCATCTTGCATAATTGCTTTGTGCTGCATTCTGGATAAGGCTACACCTATTGATGCAAGCTACAGTTTTGCTTCAGGCTTTGTTCCTCTCCAACCAGCATTTTTTAATCTTTTCAGCGGTACACAATAACATAGTTCCAACATTTCCTGGAAGGAAACTGCTATGTTGGAAATGAAAGGAAGTGGTAAAAATCTCAACATAGATTTTCCTGGGTGGAAGTCAACAAAACATGGAATTAGTTTCAGAGCAGTGACACATGAAATCACATCCAAGTTTCTCAAGTTGGCAGCACTGTATGACGAGCACATTAAGCCTCTGTGAAGGGAGCACTTTACAGCATCCTTTGGTTACCCTACCCAAAGCAGAAGCTGTCCTGATCAGCTTCAGAGATTTCATTTGTATGTAATTATGTAAATGATATTGAAATAGACAGGATAGTAAAGACAAAATACATCTCTTGGCATCTGAAGACTACTTACCCAGGAAAAAAAAGAAAAAAAAAACACAAAAGGAAATTTTAAGTTTGTGCAAGGTTACAGTAAGGTCAGAGGAAAAATAGCAAATATTAGAACTACAAAACTGTTCTTTGGGAAAACAAATGCAGCTTGCCAGAGACAGTATCATCTCAAAGTGATGATGTAATGATTTAAATTTGCCAAAGTTTCCCTTACCATGATGAATTTCATAATCTCCAGTTCCTTTTCCTTTGAAGACTGCCAAACAAGGCTGATACACATATAGTTTGTTGCAGATGGTTGGTGAGGAAAGACAGTCAAACTTGCCAACCTGTTTAACAGACAGTGCCATTTTAATTAAGGCATGCTAATTTATATAGATTAACAGATTTTGAAAAGCAGTAAGAGTTAAGAAAATAAGGTAAAAAAATCGAGAAGTAGTAGCCTTTTTATAAACAAGAGAGGTCTTAAGACAAACTACGAGGAAAACTACTAGCACAGCTATATTACATTGCTTGCTAATTTCTAAATTAAAGGCCAAAATAGGGAATAAAACCTTAGAAAATCCTCTTTCCCCCTCCCCCAAATAAAACAGCAAGAGAGCAAAAAGACACCTAAAATAAATGTGACATTAAAATTCTTCTAAAAAAACCTGTTGCATTGACTAAAGTACATACCTTATAGAAAAACACAATACATATCCCTTTAGTACAAAGTTTTAATTTGGTTTCATTTTATTAAGAAAATTTTCAAGACAATTATAGGGTTTTCTGAGTAATTAAAATACAGTTTCACATCAACATCAATTTGATGTTGAAGTGTTAACTTTTAATTGTTAACTGAACAGGATCTGCAGTAACATTTCCCATGAGAGAGCAGATTTAAAAGATAATCTTTCCTAACTACTTTTAAATTATTCAGATCACATGGGAAATTTCATTTCTTGCTTCAAATTAAAAACTTTACTACAGATCTACTGTATGATAGTACATTTCTTCCAGCACCAGAGGTGGCAGGGGGTAGCAAGAGCTAATAATCACAAAAAACATACTGACTTGTTCTCTGAATGTAAATGGTATTTAACACTAGATGAGTGAGCAGTCTTACCTGAATATGTTCATCTTTAAGTAAAAATTTAAGTTTCTTAAACTCCTGTACATTTGATTTATCACTCTCCCCAAACTGGAAGAAAAGCAGCCATCGGTGATGAGCCAGGCGGTCCTTTAAATGAAGGAAAAAACCCAAAACCACAACAAAAACACAGACAAAAAAAAAATTATTCCAAACTAATACCAACTTGTAAATTCCTTTCATGTTTTTAAAGGCAAATGACCAATTATCCATCTGATCTCCAGCTGGCCTCCTCCACTCAACAAATTCTTTCATGTAGTCCTTCCACTAAACTTCCTTTTACTGCATCATAAAGCAGGAAAGAGGAAAAAATCTGAAAACAAGCTGGCTACACGCTAGCCTCTATACTTTCTGTTTCCATGCGTGTTTCCTATTGTAGATGAAGCTGCTAAGTGCTACTACTAGCGTGAAAAGAAGTTTCCTCTTTTATTTCTCCCGGACATGGGTAAGTTTTATGACTTCTAATTTCAGTTCACACATAACTTATCATGGATTAACAAGTATTTTTCTTTCTTACATTACTGACAAAATACATTTAAACCAAAATTCTCTCCAAAATATTTTATTAAAAAAAAAACAAACAACTAGAAAGTTACAGTTGCAGAGTTAGTTGCAATGGCAATTTCTGTGGTTTTCTATTTTCCTGGTAAATATCCTGCCGCCCCCATTAGTTGTTTTGCTAAACAACATAGACAAACAATGTTACATTTTTGGCTATGGAGGGGAAAAAAAAAGTAATTATCAGTTAAATAAATACTAGGTTGTTGTGTCAACAGGATTTGAAAAATGTAAAAAGTAATGATAAAAAATAGAAAAGTACGTTATTTAAAGACATCTTAACATATTTTTTAAAATTCACCTCTAACGATGCTGCAGAGATAATTTCAAAGTCTGGCAGATGCTGCATTACTTCCTGATATATTTCTCTGGCATCCAAGGAGTTAAGAAACTAGGAAGGAAAATTAACTGTGTTTATTTTAAGGAATTACAAACATCAATCTGACTGTTGATGGTTAGTACTCAAAGTGTCAGAAAAATTATTCTGATTTGTTCCTTTCCATCAACTGAAGAGTACAGTTACTAATATGTTATTTGATCAACTTCTTTTTCATATATACATATATATATTCCACAAACATCACTCTGAATACTGCATTTTAGCTTGTTCTCCTACAATACTAAACTCAAGATACTGTATTTTGTCAAAACAGGGGTTAAAAGTCTCAAATTCAAAATTTCAAGCCAAATTTTAAAATCATGTTTACAAGATTTCCAACCTAGTCTTACAGCCTTCCTTAACTGCACTGTACAGATATTTACGTTTCAGTAATTTTTAAAATTCACCGAGTACTATGAATCAATAACTCGGAGTTGTAAGTTACATGGCTGAAAGTAGGTAGGTTACAAATTTAATTTCCTCTTTTTAAAGATATAGGTAACAGCAGTGACAATAAGGGAACAAGCCGTGCTTCAAACTGAGAAATGTCTCCCATCAATTAAGGAAGCTAAAACTACCATAGAAAATGTAGGAGGAGGTTGCAATATTACAATAGAGCCCAACAGCATAATCCGTACCAACAGATACCATAGGAGCACTTTTGTCACACATGTCAGTACTCCATTCAGTGCAGCATTTCTCAAACTTGTGACACCTGGGGCATATTGCTTCTGGAACGAAAACTCATCATTTAGGTTGGAAAAGACCTTTAAGATCATCAAGTCCAACCATTAACCTAACACTGCCAAGTCCACCACTAAACCATGTCCCTAAGTGCCACATCTACATGTTTTTTAAACACCTCCAGGGATGGTGACTGAACCACTTTCCTGGGCAGCCTGTTCCAACGCTTAACAACCCTTTCAGTGAGGAAATTCTTCCTAATATCTAAACTAAACCTCCCGTGGCGCAACTTGAGGCTGTTTCCTCTTGTCCTATTGCTTGTTACTTGGGAGACAAGACTCTGAAGCTTGTCCAGGGTAGCTGGGTAGCAGTTTTGGAACTCGCTCACGGGCCTGTCACTGAGCACATCCCGCCCCTGCATTTCCACGGCTGCTCAGGGAGGCTCCAGAGGAGGTGGCCAGGCAGACCTACAGGCTGCTGCTACTGCTGCGTGCTCCTGTTCACTCTCCCAGCATACCAACAAACCAGGGACCACCTTCAGGGATCACTGCCTTAGAAGCCAGGAGGAATATGAACTCATACCAGGACACACAAGTTTAGAAGAGAAAAACAAGTATCTTTTCAGTTGTATCTAATCAATCTGGAAATTATTTATACATTCCCTTGTCATCACCTTATTTTATCTAAATACAGAATGGTTGAGAAACAACTCATACCAAAACACCTCCTTTCTCTTTGTTATTTATGGTGGCTCCAGGCGGAAAGTATGCTGTAGTACTAGATGAGATATCCAAATTATCACAAAGCTCACCCTGGGTGCCACAGTCCATCCAGCCTACATTAACAAGACCCTCCTGTAATAAAAATAATAAAAAAAAGAACACAAACCAACACCAAACACAAAACCATGGAAGAGTATTTTTTAATTTCAGGTTCAGAAATGCTTTTGAAAATCCCAAGACCAGCAATTATATACAACATTTAGAAAATGGAAGGAAACCACGGTGCAATTCATTAGTTAATACTCATTCACATTTAATAAAATTCTTTAAAAATTTCATGTTATTCCAGTAACTACTAAGTCAAAATATTTAACTCTTCTGAAAGTTAGTGGCTGAAATCTTGGTTCCACTAAACTCAGTGAAAGTTTTAGCTACAACTTGATGTTTTCACTTCCGCTATTTTATTTGAACTATAACAGGTAATGCTTTCAAAGTGAAACACTGCTTACCAACATGCCAGCTAGCTTAAGGCGTGTTTGGTAACTCAAGCAATCTGCAAAATAAAAATTATTTATTTACAAACATAAAACTTCAAATTATTAATGCACTAAGCCCGCTCTAGTTTAGAATTACCCCTTTCCTTCCTATACAGGTGACCACTGCAAAAGGCATGCTTCCTGGCTATTCATCCGGTATTTCAGTGACTTGAAGTTGCAACATCTAGTAATCAGCACTTGATGGTTGTCCACTCCAAGTTAAAAATAACATGAACACCATTCTCCTGCTTCATCAACACAGAATTCTCATTTTAAAAATGTTAGTATTTTATTTGCTATATAAGACAACAGACCTTTAAAACTTCTTCTTAATCAATGTTTAATAAAAAAGAGGTATCTACATTGTCTTGTAATGAGATTTCAATGGAAATATGAATTTCTATGATTCAAATAATAATTGACTATAATAAATACATCATATGCTCTCATCACCCATCCAGACTTTGAATAGCTACTTTCTGATGGAGATTTTTTCTGAAATAAGCAAATGCGTCAAGCTGACTTCAATTACACCAAAGTTGAAAACTTAATAACGAAAGGACTGCAACTTGAAATCAAGCTATTTACCAATGTAAATCCAAGACTGCAGCTCCGGTTATTCATTTCACAGAACAAAGGTCTCTTCCTAAGACCAAGAAATCTTTTATTTGTAAAGGTGTGGCACATTTACTTAGCTCTACCAGCTAACCACGGCAACTTTCTAATATACCATATCCAATACTGAGCCCAAGAAAGCCAGTGACAAACAGCTACAAAAAAACAACGCAAATCTAAACTGTCATAACATCAGTGGCAGAGCCAATTACTATGTCCAAACCTAACCTAAGAGAAAATATTCAGCTAATTTTTGAGTATTGGTGGCTTAAAGGGGAGATACATCCTTTCTTCTACGCAGCTATCACGACATGCTGGCATGCACCGATGTAATATCTGTCATTTGATCTTGAGCTGGAAACTGAAGTCAGAGGCCTTTTCTGCCAGTTCCTGTTCTGAGGGGTTACACTTTGGTGCTGCTGTAATGACTCACGTGACATTACAGAAGCACAATAGCATAATCTCTCTATTAATGTCCCTTTTGTCAAACTGCCTCCAAAATGGAGCTTGAATGACCCACAGTCCAAATACTGTGACCACCTAAGATGTTTTACAACTTTTTATTGGAAGCAAAAGCGATTATGCCACCATCAACAAAAGCACTTCTTTTTTTTCCTGTTTGCCTTATTTGAAGAGATCTACTGCACCTACCCCCACGTTCAGCACAGAAGGTGATCAGCCAACCAACGCCAGAAGCAAATGAAGTTTCAATGGCATTAACAAAGTTTCCTAAGAGTGAAACAATTTGCATCAGTTTGTGGCTAGTTGAACGTGACTATGAAACAAGAAGGTTTTACATTTATATTAGCAAATTACAGTAAACTATTTTTAATTGCAAAAATAACACTTAGCAACAGTTGACTGATTCAGTTGTAAACATAGCTTCTGTCATATTTTATATTGCAAAAGCAATTTCAAGAACAACATCCAAAGAAAATATGTGACCGTTACCTGCCCATAACTCAGTGACTGTGCTTGTAACATACTGCATGGCAAAGTTCTTTAAGCTCTCTTTTGACCTGTCACCGTAATATTTCACTGGTTGCTATAGAAGACAAAGAATAAAGTTTATAAAATTAAAAAGAAAAAACATCCCAAAACTTACTGTTTTTTTTATAACAGTACTTATGCAACTGCAGGACAACCCGTCCCCCCCTAAACATAAGCTCTAACTGTTCTCTTCCTCCCATATCGGATCATTTAAAATTTAACTTTTATTTAAATTTTGTAATGTGATTTCTTTCCAAGTCCAGCAACACAAGAGTAATTTAGTCTTAGAAACACCAACTCCCAATGATTGTATTTCTATCTAAATAAAAATTGCTTGCATTAGTCCATTTAGCGTATGCACAATCTCTGCTTTCAGCCTCTCAAATCTTATCATTGTCAAATTCAACCATAATTTATACACCACCCTGGCACCACTGCTTAATAAGCAGCTGTAAAGCGTGACGTACACAATGCAGCTAAGCATGGCAGAAATCTCGTGGGAGGAATTTCCAAGTTTCTTTAGGTACCTGGTCATATTCTTTAGATTCAAAACCACAGACTATTCTTTGTATTTGAAAAGTTCATTACAATACTAGAAGAGAAACTGTTCAAGCAGACTTGTTGTTTTGCTACAGCACCAGTACTGACAGTGTCGTCCCAAATAGGTCCCAAAGAAGTGATATGATGCACAGTAAAATGATTAAAAAAACCCCACTGTATCGACCAGACATCTATTTTTGAAGTTAACCTTCTACACTACATTAACCAGGGTGAAGGAAGAGCAAAAGTAATTTATTAAAAGGAATTAATATAGTAAAAGGAAGATCTTTACATAAAGAGTGATGACCGAACAAGTATTAAAGAAATACTCTTTCAGATTTCCATCTTTCTGAAAATGCTTGAAGTTTTATCACTCACCATTCCAGTTTTGAAAATGTAGAGACTGGGATAACTGTTAATCCCTTTAATGCGACAAAGCATTCTGTTATCTCCACAGTTGACAGCTCCAATGCGTATTACTCCATCCATCTCCTTAGCAAACTCCCTCCACTAGAAAAAATGGGAAAAAAGAGAAGGATATGTTCCTATAAAAGACATAATGAAAAATCAACACGTTTTAGTCCTGACACCTTGAATTGTTGTCTTTGATTTCAGCTTCAGTGTAAAAATCCACTTTAAGTTTTATGCTGTTAACACCAAGAAATTTTCAGAGTTAATTTGGTTGTTATACATACCGTGGGTGCTAACTCATGGCAGTGGGAGCATCGAGGAGAATAAAAATTCACAAACCACAGTTCTCCTGAGTTAACAGCAGCATCTAGATGGAGAGAAGAAAATTGTAACTAATGAACATCTACAACGTAGCTACATCTAGACTGTATATTTTTATATTGTTTTCCCCAAAAGCTGAATTAAATATTTACATGTCAGACACAGTTACTAACAGTAACTCAGATGGGACAAAGATTGCACCTCACTTGCACATACTCACTGTGGTAGACAAGTGCACAAAAATCGTATTTCAGAGGATATAAGCAACCTGACTTTCAACATCCGTTCTATTAATTATGAATAAATGTACTCTCTGCAGATTAACCTAGTCAAACGTGTGACAGTGAAGTCAGGTCACCTTACAAACAACATACGAGTTCTAAAAGATTTTCACCAGAACTTTCCATTTCCTTATATCACTTTATGTATTTTCTGGGTTCCATCAGGCAAACGTTTTATGTAGAATCCCTGTCTAATAGATGAAAATGCAATTTAAAAATGTAAGCTAAACCAGAAAAGTCAAGTGAAACATTATTAAATACTCTTGCTTATAAAAGAAAACACCAGCAACAAAATATACACATACAGAGGTTATCAGCTTGAATTACATGGCTTTCAGTCTCTTCATTCTTGCATGTAATTTTTATAGTGAATTTTCTAAGTTATATTTGCCTATATTAAAATATCCTCACAAACAAGCCAACTAAAGATTGTGTAGATTCTGCAAATCACTTAACCAAAGCAAGAACAGGTTCTCATAGAGAGCATCATGAGGTTCTGCTATTAGAACAGTTTATAAAATTGGTTCAGCATGTAGATCCAGTCTGTACAAAAGAAACTGTATTCAAAGCGCAGATGAAAAATCACACCAAATCCATTTTTTTTTCCTCTCTAGTCTCTTTTCGTTAAAAACATCTTAGCTATAATTTTAAACCAAGAAAAACTGGATAACATCCTCACTGAAAGCATTCTCTTTCCAAACCTTGTTTTACTTAGCTATGTCTTTAGTATCTGGTATCACCTTCTTGAATTTTGTCTTGAACCTCTTGTTCAAGGCAAAATTGACTCTATTTCAGAGAAAAAAAAAATAATAGAACTATAATAGAAAAGTTCTATCAAGTACATTTTTAGTCAACAGACCAAAACATAGTAATGTTAAATTAGGAGAAACAAAATTTTAATGAAAATAATTTCCTCTTGCAGATCTCACAAAATATCTTTCAAACTTAATCTAAAGTGCTTATTGATATTGATCTATTTGCTAACTAGCACTTACCAGGAAGCCTTAAGGGTTTGGTGTTTTTTTTTTCATTTTCTCATCTGAAGACTATTTTCTGGCAGTTATTTGTATAGATATGTAATAGAAGTCTATACATATACAGCACAGAATGTAAAAATTGTTACTTGGGGTTTCCATGTTGTCAGACAGACAGCTACTTATTTAAAACTCACCAAACTCCCCTCTATCCAATGTTATGATTTCAGGATCGTCATCGTAAATACCTGTTGAAAAAAACAACAATTGCTTTTTATTTTTGCCATCTTTAGAATGAAGAAACAAACCATCATCTTCTTGACAAGACAGAAGACAGTACACTAAGTTGAAAAAGTAAGCTGGCAAACAGTTTTTGCAACAAAGCTGTACTTCCTTAGTAACATGTAACCTTAGTTTAATCTCTTGCTAACTCCCGCGTCCTCGTGCTACAAAAGCCACCATCAGAACAGAACAGTTCTTTTGGTGTTTTAGTAGACCAGCCACCGAGTGAGCAGAGAACTTGAACTACCACTGTTATGGTAAGAGTATTAGAAATAACATCAACCAGCTGTCAGATTAAAATTCAAGAAGCTTCCGCTCTCAGCAAGAGCACTATACGTAATGTCTGCAAGCTTTCACTTCTTCTCTCAGCCTCTGCTTATCTAAACTATCTAGATCACAAAGGCGTTTCAGCCACAAGTTTTTCCACTAACAGAATGCCATGAACGCAGTGGAATAAAGCAGAGAGAATAAAGGTAAGGAAGACAGCTTTTCTAAAAAGCTAACCAGTCCTACCTAGAACATCACTACAAAACAGTCTAGTACTTCAAGTATGCAAGAAAGGCAGCGCAGAGGTACCAAAAATACTATTAGACAGCATTATATTGTGCTACTATGGCTACAGATGTTTTACAGTACCTAACACGGCGAGATGCCATTTCACCTGAGGTATACAAGGATTAAATGCAAATAAACAATGAGAGAAATTAATTTCCACAGGTGACAGGGTACTTTATACACTACTATCCAATTATAGATCATGTAATATAATACATACACTCACCCATCTGTATATATATAAAATACATGTAAAATATAAAAATATAGATACAGATACTCTCCAAATGACTGGTAAAAATACATTCAAGGATATTGTTCCTCAGTCTAGCAGTGCAGCTTCAGACAGATAAAATTTCTTAAGTGTATTTATCTGAAGAAGTTTTAGAGTAATTTCCATATTTTCCTGCAATAGCTGTGCCTCTGGTTTATTCAGTTTCAATTTGCAGAGACATTAGTTTATTAGAGATTGGGACATATTAAATTAAACTACACCAGAAAAAATTTTGCCAAGGTGGAGGTTCATTCCATCTTTTTCTCTCATATCAATCAAACCATGTTCCTCAGCTCTCCATTTTAGCTTACTCCTGTT